TCTGCCCTCGGTTACCCCAGGAGATCTTTGGAATAACTCCTTTGGAGCCAGGAAGGTTACTGGGGATTAATGGCAAGGGCAGCAAACTACAGCTCATGAAAACAGAGCAAACAGGCTCTTTGTCTGGTGGATTATTCTGGATCTTTGTCTCCATTTGAAAGAGCCTGGGATGCCCATCAAGGGAGCTGAGAACCACCCTCTCACCTAATCATCTTCCTTCTCCAAAGCTTTCCCACTAAGAAGCTTCAAGGGCTAAATTGTATTAATTGGCTAAGATTTCCAGAAGCTCTTCAGCACCCCATAATAAGCCCTGAAGACAATGGGGGTTGCAGATGATTAGCAACAATTGGTTAAAGGCTTGAACCAAATTGCTCTGTTTGCAGTGCTCTCGCCCCAGACCCACAAACCCTTCCCTGCTGCTTTTTTGGCAGCCCCAGATTCCAGAGGAATAAAAAAAAAACAACCCACCTAAAAGCTACGACTTGTGTGCAACCCCAAAAGTCACCCCAAGAGCTATGGCTTGTCAGCCCAGCTCTGTTGACAGGGGATTTTTAGGGCCAAGTCCTACTCTGGCATCTAAAGAGCAGATCTCATCATCTCTCTCCATAAACTTCACCCTCCTTGGATTTCTGCTGCTTCTTTTGCTCCCCACCCCAAATTCCCCTCGGCACAGGCAGAAGTTCTAAGTGGAGACACAAGGAATTTTTACAGCACAGAGGGGCAAGAGATCCAGAAGGGAATAAAGGCTAAATGAAAGAAACAAAATCAGGCTAAAATTCCCCATGTCCTGTCTTATCAGCTTTAGTCAGAAGGCTCTGTGACTAGTTAAAAGAAACCTTAGTGAAGGGAAAAAATAATCAGTAAAAGGAAAATTGGCTCCATCCTGGCACAAACCAGGACACCCAACAGCACAACTACTTCCTTTTGGCCTGAAGTCTGGTTTTGAATTGCAGCATGACCACGGGACACAGATGCAGTAGCACTCACAGCACATTTTCTTCTAACATATTTTCCTTTTTCTCCTTCTTTTTTTCAATTCCAACTTCTATTTCTTTATATATATTGATGTATTTATTTTTAATCAAAGAGAGAAACTCAACCTCGTGCTCAGAAACTTGGAAACTCTCAGAGAAACTGCTAAAGGGGTCCCATGTGCCTCAGGAAAAGAGGCAGTGGGAGAACAGGAACGTCAGAAGTTGGTGGTCATGGGAATTTGGATCTCCCTGGAGCTCATGGCTGCTCTTTTGGAATGAAATCACCTGCTGCTGAAAGGTTTAATGTCACCCCTGAATGAATCTTTCTGCCTGGATGGGCTTATTCACTTATTTTCTGGGAAATGAGAGGAGGAAAAATCAACATGGAGGTCTTGGAAAGGAGAAAGCCATGGAGAGGGACTTGGAAAGATGTGGCCATTCACCTGCAAAGCTCCTGTCCCCAGAGGCTGCCTGGGCTGGTGTGTTGCTCTTCCTTGGCCAGAGCGTGCAGAGATGGAAGGAGAGTCCTCCAGGAGGCACCTGAGACCTTGCTCTGAGCTCACTCCTGGCCCTGGAAGTTGTCTTTCTTCCCTGCTTCATCTCCTTTCCTCTCAGTCCCTGCTGTTTGCCAAGGGTGGGTTTCAATGGATGAGCCCCCAAGCCAAGTCTCCACCAGCATCTAGTCCTAATTCTGCTTCACCCCACAGCAAGACCTGCTCCAAGTGAAACCATTTGGTCCCAGCAAACTGTTCTCCCTTCCATCCTCTGACAACCAAAGGCACAAGGAGACCACCAGAGCTGGCCAGGTGGCAACTCTTTCTATTAGGATGGACTAAGCAAGTCCAACCACCACACACCTGCTCCCACCTGATCCAAGCCCCACACAAGGCATTAGGACCTGAAAGTTCAGTCCTGAAAGAACATCTTCAGCAGGGCTCAAGGCTGCTCTGTGTGAGAGGAGAGGGGTGGGCAAAAGGACAGACCTTGACCATGTGAGAGTGACAGAGCACTGGGACAGACTGCCCAAGGAGACTGTGGAGTCTCCTCCTCTGGAGACGTTCCCAAGGTGGACGTGTTCCTGTGTGATGTGCTGTAGGTGATCCTGCTCTGGCAGGGGAATTGCACTAGATGATCTTCAGAGATCCCATCCAACCTCAAGGACTCTGGGACTGGGGACGGGTGTCCCCCAAAATGGGGAGGCCACAAACCAGCTCACTGCCCTGGCTGGCTCAGCTCGGTCTCCTCTGCTGGGCTCTGCTTCTCCCAGGGTTGCCTTCAGCCAGGAGATGCCCCTCTGGGGTAGCCCTATGCCAGGAATTAGGAATCATTTGAGATCCACAGACTCATAGAATGGTTTGGATTGGAAGGGATCATCCAGTTCCACTCCCCTGCATGGGCAGGGACACCTCCCACCAGCCCAGGTTGCTCCAAGCCCCATCCAACCTGCCCTTCAACACTGCCAGGGATGGGGCAGCCACAGCTTCTCTGGGCAGCCTGGGACACGGTCTCACCACTCTGAGATTCAAATAAAGGAGAAACACTGAAATAAAGGAACCTCAGAGGTGCTGAGTCTTTCCTCAGGGTGACAAATTCAATCCCCTTAATGAGATGATGGGTGACCTGATGAATGTCAGGTCACCAGTTCCTGGTACCAAAGCTGGGCACAGTTTTTAGAACTATGGGTGGTTTTTTTTCAGCAACTTCTTTTCTCTATAATATAAGAAAGGAATAGCTCTAGAAAATCCAACCCACCATATTCTCCAAGGGCATGAACAACCATCACTGCCCTAAAACCAAGGTGGACTTACTGATACCTTCCAGTGGGGAACTGGTTCCATCACTGGGAAACAACTTCACTACATGCACACACACACATTCCTATATTCAAATCTATTTTTCATGTATTTAATTATATTTTAATATATATTTCTACCTTAAATATCTATAAACCCACAAAGGTTCCTACTGCTCTAACACACTCAGCCCTGAATGGCTCTTTCATCTTCCATCTGCAAGTGATTTTTTTATATCTCTAATTTATTTTATATACATTTTCATATATTTATGCACATAATTTTGTAGATATTCAGACCTATAAAAACCACCAAAGTGGGCGGGTATTTCTCTAAGATTTTCAATCCTGAATGGGCCTTTATTTGACTATAATAATCTTATCCTGCTCTCTTTTTATATATATATATAAAAGGACATCTTTGTAAGAATACACAGCCATTCCTGTGCTATCAGGACAGAGGAGAAGTTATTAAGGGACTGAGCATCAGGAACGATCCTGTGGATTTTAACCCTTCCTACCCAAGTTGAAACCCTGAGGGGGGGGGATATTTATATATTCCAAGTCTTTTCTATTCCCTCTATCATTCCCCACGACCACAGGCCTTGCATAAAAATGCCAGGCAGCTTGTAGCAAGAGCCCAGGGTGGCGAGATGCCACGCTCTGCCCGTGGCGTGAAGCCCTTCTCATAACCCTCCCTGTTCCACCTCCTCTCCCCCCCCCCAAAAAAAAAAAAAAAAGGATGAATGTAAACCTTCAAATCTTTCCATCGACCTTCATGAAAGGGCAGATTTAGCAGCCAAAAAGAAAAAAAAAAAGCTAAATAAAAATATGTGGAGGAGGGGGGAGTAAAATCGTTACTCAAAGTTCCAGCAGAGGTTGGCACAGGAGGGAGAAAAAAACCCTATTTCAAGTGGTAGTGCATCCCAGCAATAAATAAATATTGACATATCATGCCAGGCAGGGAACACAGGGCACATTCAGGAGACCACAGAGATTATTTAGATGGAGAAGAGTAAGTGTCATAGATACATTGCTATAGATCTAAATGGACGTATGAAAACGTTCACCCGTTGCAGCAGGAACGTTTGCAGCTTGGTGAGTATTTGTTACCCACCACCATGGCTTGCATGGCTACCCAGAGCCAGGTTGGAGAGTGTCCAACATCTGCACCAGCATCTGTACATCACCCAGCAGTGACCACCAACAGCTGAGTGGGTGGTGGAGACAGCCCAACCAGCAGAAGGTCCCAAGGCAGGTCCTGACAACCTTCCACCAGGAGCCAGCTCTGCTGGTCCTGGAGAATGAGGGATCTGAGTCACTTCTGCCCTCCTGGATGGAAAATGCTATATTGAGCACCTACATCTGTCTTAGGTATAATCATGGCTATGGCACTGGTCCTGAAAAACATTTGCACCAGGAAGCAACTTGACACATGGACCGAGTTCCAAGTGAAGTGAAAGGCCTGAAGTTCATTACTGGCAGGACGTGACATTTAGAAAAGGACTTGAAACAGGATTTTGAAACAGGATTTAGGCTTGATTTGCAGCTGAAGAACTCACATCCAAAACTGAGATTCAAAAAGATCTCTTTGGCCACCAGGCCCTGGCCATCCCAACATTTTTTAATACCTTCCTTTTTCAACCTGAAACCACCACAACTACCCCTCCTGCTCTGCACGTCCAGAACCAACCAGGCAAACATGTCCCTCCTGCCAAAGACCCAGAGGCCAGCAGAACACAGGTCTGCACACCCAGATCTCCACAGGCATCTGGAGCATCCTTAGCAAACCTGCTCCCAGAACAAGACTGGGAGCTCTGGTTTTAAAGCACCTGCAGAAAAAAAAAGACCCAAGAGCTCTTCCACCCCAGCCTGATGAGTAGAGTCTCTCAGCCCTAGTCCAACTCTCTTGTGCCTTTAAACAGGTTGAATCCCACATGCAACCACAGAAACATCTGCTGAGCACAAAGCTAGAGGTCGTTCTGGATGGGGACAGGTCAGCAAGAAATACAAGGTCCCTGCAGCCAAGAGGACAACCCACAGGAGATCCTGCCTCTGCAACCCAGCGGTGAAGGCATCACCCCAGAGTAGAAGTCCTGGGTTTTTTTGGCCCCAGTTCCTGATGACATCTCTACAGCCTGATGAAAAATGCAGGTGCAGATGGCAGAGGAGGGACTTTCTGCTGAGTCCTGGCTTAGCTCAAGCCACAAGTGACACGTAAAGCCAAGGGTTACCTCTGCATCCTGGACATCCTGTGGAGCTCCATGTCATCGCTGCCGCGGAAGCCTTTGGCAAAGGGGTTGTTCTCAATCTTCAGCTGGGTGATCTGCAAGGGAGGAAACACAGCAGGTCCATCACAAGTCCAAGGGAGAAAGGGAGGTGGTTTATTAAAGCCAAGCCAATAGAGATTGGAGGAGATAGGGTGGGAAACAGGCTTCAGGAACTCAAACCATCCTTCAGCTCAGGCATTGTCCACTCCAGATGGGTCTTCCTCTAGGTCTCTCCACTGGAAAAAAACCTCCTGTCATCAAGCTCTCATTTCTCTCAGACTTGTCCCATAACCAAGCCATGGGCCTGCACACACCCACGTTGCTCCCTGGAGGAAATCTGCTTGCTTACCTACTTTCATTTTGCTGCTGGGACAGAAAGAGCTGCACTGGGCCAGGAATGAAATCCATATTGCCTGAACAAGTCCCACTGACACCAGCAAGGATCTGCTCAGCAATGTGCAGCCACAACCAAACCCTACCTCTCAGACCTGGGACCCTCTCACTCAGACTGGTAACACTCACCCTTCCTCTATTTCAGAGCAGCTAAATGTCCTCCAGGTGCTCTGCATCTTACACCTTCCCCAACCAGCCCCACACCTGTGAGCACTGCAGAACCTAAGGTTCTTACTTACAGAGCAACTCCACCTCTGACCATGGTGCCCTGGAGGAACAGTTGTCTTGCCATTAGGGTCATAGAATTCCACACTGGTTTGGGTTGAAAGGGACCTTAAAGATCATCCAGACCCTACCCCACCCCCCTGCATGGGCAGGGACACCTCCCACCAGCCCAGGTTGCTCCAAGCCCCATCCAACCTGCCCTTCAACACTGCCAGGGATGGGGCAGCCACAGCTTCCCTGGGCAGCCTGGGCCAGGCTCTCACCACCCTCACAGCAAAGAATTTCCTCTTCATGTCCACCCTCAATCTCCCTCTTCCAGTTTTAATCCCTTCCCCCTTGTCCTCTCCCTCCCTGCCCTTGTCCCAAGTCCCTCCCCAGCTTTCCTGGAGCCCCTTCAGGCACTGGAAGGTGCTCTAAGGTCTCCCTGGAGCCTTCTCTTCTCCAGGCTGAACATCCCAACTCTCCCAGCCTGTTTCCAGAGCAGAGCTGCTCCAGCCCTCAGATCACCCCCATGACCTCCTCTGGACTTGCTCCAAAGACTAGTTTGCTAGCTCAGTTGACCACCTTCAGTATCTAAAGTCTGCTGGGATACAACCCCTTCAGACTCCTGCCTTTGGTCCTATTACATCATTCCACCTTCCAACAACATCTGGGCCTCTTTCTCCATTACCCTCTGGCAATCCAAACCCTCACCCAGGAGTCAGGAGAGCCACTTGTGCTCCCCCAGGAGGAGACACAACTCTGTTTGCCACAGGAAGAACTTCCTGGGCTCACCGTGTCTTATGGAAACAATTGTCCTTCCTTCCATTCCTTCCTATTGAGAGTTGACCAGTGGGAAGGAAAGACCTTGAGACTAATGGTGGGAGAACAGAGGGAGGATCATATTCACCAAATCAAGCCCACACAGCTGGACCCTCCTCTTTGCCCAAAATCAAGGCCAAAAATCTACCTTGGCTGCTGCCAACAGCAAACCCCTCCAGGTATCTCCACAACCAGATTATTTCACTGTTTTCTCATCTTCCAGCCTATTTTTTTTTTCCAAAGCCCGTTTGCTTCTTTACCATTTTTGCCCAATTCAGCCCCAAAACTCCCAGGAAGACCCCATCACCCCTACACTTGCACTATTGGTCACTCCCATTAAACCAGGATGGAAACCAGCAGACAGACCATCCCCCACAGGTTTTTTTACCTCATCCCTCATTTCAGATTTCAAAGAGAAATGGGGAACAACCAACCCAGTTGCTCCAATGGGAGCAGTTCTCCAGCACCAACACAGGGGCACATTTTCTAATTAAAAGCCTGGAGTAATTAGCCAATGAAGTGTTTTTTGCAAAGCAACTGCCTCTCCATTTCCAGCGGGGAGGTGGTGGCACCTCTCTCATGAATAATAGACATTGTTCAACTCTCTTTTTTTTGACTTTTCCTGTGAAATTTGCATTCTGAAGCACACTCAATGTAGGGGTTGTCCTCGTTTGCTGAACCCAATGGCAATATTTGCTCACACCAGTGAGGTCCTTCAGTGAGCAAGGATTTACAGCATTGGCACAAGCACACCAAGGTACAAAGGGCCAGATTCATCCCAACCTGACCAAAGGCATTTTAACCAAGGCGCCTGCACTGGGAACCTCATCTCCTGCTGGAATTCATAGAGGGAGATGGGAACTGCCAGAGGGCACTGGGGCCCTGAGATGGGTGGGTAGTGTTGCCTTCACAGGTCCCCAACACCCTCTGTTCATGAGAGAAAGAGCTGTCAATGGGTTAGGGCTTAATTTAAGGGTCTCAGCTGAGTGCTCTGGTTGGTGAGTCAAACCTTTAATCAGCCACAAAATCACAGAATGGTTTGAGATGGAAGGGACCTTAAAGATCACCCAGTTCCAACCCCCTGCATGGGCAGGGACACCTCCCACCAGCCCAGGTTGCTCCAAGCCCCATCCAACCTGCCCTTCAACACCCCCAGAGATGGGGCAGCTAGATTTCCTCCTCATGTCTCACCTAAATCTCCCCTCTTCCAGCTTTAATCCTCCCCCCTCGTCCTCCCCCTCCCTGCCCTTGTCCCAAGCCCCTCCCCAGCTTTCCTGGAGCCCCTTCAGGCACTGGAAGCTGCTCTAAGGTCTCCCTGGAGCCTTCTCTTCTCCAGGCTGAACACCCCAACTCTCCCAGCCTGTTTCCAGAGCAGAGCTGCTCCAGCCCAAGGATCATCTTTGTGGCCTCCTCTGGACTCTCTCCAGGAACTCCATGTCCTCGACCTGGCAAATATGTTGCTTTATGAGTGGAGAATTCCCCTAATCCTCACAGAGAAAGCTCTTACAAGCAACAGTACTAATGTATGGGCTGGTGGCAGGAAGCCCCACTTGAAGCACAGCTGACCTCAGCCTTCTTAAAATTCAAGATCTGCTGGTTTGAAGGCATCTAAAAACCAGGACTACATGTTTTTCCATTAGGCA